TCCTTTTTATGTACCCATGAGAACAACAACTTCAATTTTGTAGGCACTCGTGAAGAGCAACCTCCCCGTGGTAAGTGCTGGGTAACGCTAATAGCTCTTCCCCCGTGTGGACCCGGGGTAGAATGTGTCCTCAGCACCCCATTACAGGGGTCGTAAAAGGCGACCGAATTGGGCAACCCGTTTGCCGTGGGTTGCGCCCCCGTGTCGAAGGAGAAAGGGAGTCTGGTGGTTGAGGGCACTGGTTCCAGGTCCAATACACCACTTCAACCCTTACTTCACCTAGACGGGTGGTAGAATGGGCCCGGTTCTATCAATCGGCTGGTCACGCCAAGCCCTGAGCACATATTGTGTTTGAACTGATTTGACTTTTGATTTAACTTTTTTTTACTTTCGGACTTGGCCAAGTTATATATGTATCAAATCTTGAATTTTGATTGTTAATTATTTCAATTGCCTAGATTCGTATGCCCAGAAGGCGGTGGACCACCCCGCGTCATACCAAAAGACGTTAAAAGATGGAACTTGTTGTTACCCTGTCTGGCGCTCGGCATTAAGGGGCTAAAACAAGGACTGGTCGGCTCGGAGTCAGTATACTGTGTCTGAGTGGGATATTCATGTTAAACTGCGGCATGGTATCTCAGTGAGCTAACACTGTTAATTCGGCATTACTCCGGACTAGTACAGACCAGTACAAGCAGACACACACACACACACACACATACACACACACACACACACACAGAGACACACACAGAGACACACACACACACACCATTTCACCTCACCTCACATATATGAAGCACACGTTTCACGCTAGTATATATAGTCTATTTCTATTGTTAGTACATTGTAAGTTGTAGTAATAATAAGGACTGGTCGGCTCGGAGTCAGTATACTGTGTCTGAGTTGGATATTCATGTTAAACTGCGGCATGGTATCTCAGTGAGCTAGCACTATAAATCGGCATCAGTCCGGACTAGTACAAGCAGCCACACAAACACGCACACGTACATGCACGTCGCTATATAAGTGCAATAATCTTGGACGCGACGTTAAACCCCATTTCGGTGGCTCACGGGCCAATCTGGTGGATTGATTAATTCTTTAGTTAATCTGCTTGAGTATACCATCCCAGTATCCTTGGTGCTGCTAGTTGGAGATCCACTGGTTTACAGCATTGTCCATGTGGTACTCCGTGGTGGGTGGGGAGCTTGTATGTTGAACTAAATACAACTTCACCATGGCTTAACCCCTCCAAAAAAAACCCAAAAAAACCAAAAAAAAACCGAGCATTGGATGATTCCTCTGACGAAGAACACACTACTCCTAAGCATTGTTTAAATAGTTGGTCTCGCTTTTTAGTAGTTTCTGCTGCTGATGGAACACCTTTGAGGCTAAATCCTTTTGCCACCTCGCAGGCTCTTTACGGAATCGCGGGAGATGTGCAAAATGTCCAAAAAACTTGGATCTGGACTCCTACTGGTCGAATGTAAATTTGAAAAACAATCAGCAACCTTACAAGCTGCCAGATATCTAGTTTCTACTGCTGTTTTGATCTCACCACATAAAACTCTCAACTCTACCAAAGGCAATATAAGAGACAGATCAGGGAATTACACATGTCAAACGTTTCGCGTACAAAAGAGAAGATGCCACCTAAACTGACGTCCAAAATAAACTTTACCAGAGTTTGAAATCACTCTTGCTCAAAAACAACAAAACATACATGCATGAAGAAAAGCGTATTGAGAAGATCAATATATCAACATAAGCAACACTGAAAATGACAATCATACAGCGACCGAGAATGACGTCAGAGCCCCCCAAAGTTGGGTGTGGTACAAAACTCGAGCTCTCAGAATCATGGACAATAGTCAGAGTACATAAACGATCGCCCACGTTCAATAACAAGTCATTAGTAGCGTGTGTGACCACCAAATGCCTCAATACACGCAAAAACTCTTCGACGCACATAAAAAGTCAGTCGTCTGATGAGGTCACGTGGGATTTGACGCCATTCTTCTTGGAGGGCCAAGATCAGTTCTTGCCGGTTGGCTGGAGAGTGTGGTCATTGTAGAACACGACGATCCATCAAGTCCCAGAGGTGTTCTATGGGGGACATGTCGGGTGAGCGTGCAGGCCACGGCAGGACGTTGACGTTGTTTGCTGCGAGGAAGTTAGTGACAATTCTGGCTGTATGGGCTCTAGCGTTGTCATGCTGATAAAAGACACCACGTGGCTGCTGTTGGACGAAGAATGTTATCCATGTAACGCTGAGCTGTCAAGTTTCCGTCATCGATGATCAGCGGTGTCCTCTCCTGCCCGCAGATCCCTCCCCACACCATGACACTCCCTCCACCATATGGTGCGACCTCCTGCACGCAACACGCCGCCGTTCGTTCACCCATTCGGCGGTAAACACGTTGTCTTCCATCAGCCCTAAACATACAGAATCGACTTTCGTCAGTGTAGACAACCCTCTGCCAGTCACGTCGTTGCCAACGTCGTACAGTCCGGGCCCATCTCAATCGCAGACGACGATGTTGCGCTGTTAATAGCTGTCCTCTGTATGGTCTAAAAGCCCTGATTCCATGAGCTCCGAGTCTCCTGGCCACTGTCTGTCGACTAACCCTGTGACCTAAGGCATTTGTCGCCGATGACGTCACTGTCAGGAAGCGATTTCGGAGGTGCAAGGTACGCAAGTACCGGTCATCATGGGGCGTGGTCACCCTGGGTCTGCCTGTTCTTGGCCTGTCAGCGGTCCGCCCTGTCTGTCTGTAACGTTGCATCAAGTTGGTAACGGCAACACGGGAGCAACCGAAGGTTCATGCAATATGGGCGTGGGTGGCTCCCACCTGTACCATACCCAAGGCTCGTTCACGTTGTTCGACTGTGGCATTTCTTTTGTGGTTTTTTTTATCACAGTGGATGTCTGACTTGCTGTTGCAATCGTTTTATACCCTTACCCGCACGTGCATTTGCAGTTGTCCGTGGTGCACGTGTTTTTCACTTTTTCGCGTGTTATCTCGCAAACATGTAACCGACGATTAACATTTTCTGCATACACTATTGTTGTATTTAGGTTATGTGTTTTAGATAGACTTCATCGAAAAAAATTTTATACTTTGTCTGAAGTTTATAATTTCAGTTGGTAAAGTTTCTTTTGGACGTCAGTTTATAAATCAAACACGTATTTAATAACTTTTTCAAAACCAACTTAAAGAGCATCAAGGCAGGATATTTTAACATCGAAGTGGATAAGCACATTCCAAATCCACTTATTCCGCCTCTCGGAATAAGAATTAAACCTTTTATTTCTGCTGCTGATATTAAACTTGAAAATCTCCTTTCCGTCTGGTTTTATCTCCTCCTTGTCAATTTGTAAAGCCACTGGTGGATCTTATATTATCTAAACTGAAAAAATCTGACACTAACCAACTACAATATCAACAAGAATATAATCAGTTAAGAAGCGAATATAACACTTACAGATCAATATTTACAGATGGATCCAAGGATGGAGGAGCTGTTGCCAGCGCCACCATCGTTGTATCCAGAACTATATCAACTAGATTACTCTTCAATTTTTACAGCTGAATCAAAGGCCATATTAACTGCTCTAGAATATATAGATAAACAATCTAAACATAAAGAATTCATTATTTTTTCAGACTCCTTATCCTGTCTTCAGGCAATAAAAATACTTCGTGTCAACATCAAATTTTACTTAACATCATTGAATTACATAATAATCTTGCTACTGGCCAATACGACATCGTCTTTTGTTGGCTGCCCAGCCATGTCGGAATTGTTGGTAATACAATGGCTGATGCTGCTGCAATAGCAGCACTCAACAAATCTGTGACACCATTTCCAATACCATACAGTCATTAGATGTTACATCAGAGATCTAATGCAGAAGAAGTGGGACACCCAAGTGGGTATAAATAAATTAGATGCAATAAAACCAAATATCGGTTATACCTACTTGGGTTGTCAGTCCAGATTTGAAGAGGTCGTATTAAGACGATGTCGTATTGGCCATTCTAGATATACTCATGAATATTTATTAAAAGGTGAAGATCCTCCATTCTGCATCCCTTGTGATGAAAGAATCAGGGTTAAGCATGTCCTGATTGACTGTGTTGATTTTGCCATCACAAGGGATCAATATTTCAAAGTTTCAGGCATCAAGGATCTTTTTAATCAGGTACGTTCTCGTTTAATTCTTGTTGTTTTGAAGGAAATTCAATTGATTCATAAATTTTGATTACAATGTTTTGTAAATAAATAAAGTCATTTTTACAATTGGTTGAATAAATCAGTAACTGAGATTGTTAATGGCTAAATCCTCGAAGGGGGTTAAAGTAGTGTAAATTATTGTCCCCCCGAGAGGGTACGTAAGACCACGTCTTTCAAAGTGTATTTATTTCTTTCACGTTTTTTTTATTGTAGTATATGTGTTATTTTAATGTTTGGCTAAATTTATCAGCCATCGCCAACAACTGAAGGGATGATGTAAATCCGACTGGGGTCCATGCAGGTAGCAAAAGTACTGTAAGTCCCCTTGGTCCCCAGCGCGGTGATCAACCTTCAGTTGGTGGCGATCTATAGCCCGTTTTTATAATGTGTTGTTGAATGATTAGTTCGTTATCTATTTTTACATGTTCTCAAATTAGTTTTACGAAAATCTGTGATATTCTAGTTATTATACTGCTCTTCGCCGGCAGTATTTTATACAGTTTAATATATATTGTTAATGTCAAAAAAAAATTCGTCACGATATGGCTGAAATATTGCCGACGTGACTTTTTTTAATTAAACTTTAACTCACTCACTCACTCAATTTTGTAAATATCTTTGACAGAGACTGGTCACAGCACAGAGGGTTTCGTGACAAATGGGTTTCCAGAATTAAAATGGGACGTGGTAATTAGATCTATCACAAATTGTTTCAAAATCACAATACCAAGATGATCAGATACTGTTTTAAAGGTTCAAATGTATATGATCTTGATCTGCTCTGTACAAACTATGCCTTTTGATCGACAGTGCAAGTACATGTATAACAGCACCGCGAACATCGGGAACAATAACCCGTCCCAGATAACAGACGAATGCACACGGAAGCGGAGCACAAAGTCTGTCGACATACTTCGATGCGGGAAACGCGCCAGCCGAGACTCGCAGCAGTATAACCATGAATGCTTAACAACTACCGACGACAGAGTGCAGGTTACAAGCCATTACAATACATTTACTGTTGATAACGCTGAACGCATTGGTAAGTATTCGGCAGATGTGAGTTCATATTAACCCCACTTCGTATCACCATACATGTGACGGCTTGCCAAGCTGAGCTAGGGAGAAATCATTGTTGGGCTTTCGGCTCCTTGTGACTACGGATCTGTGTGCGATGTCAGGGTAGGGTGGTGTATCTCAGGTATCGCATGTTTCAAATCTCCACAAGGAGGAATAAATGTATACTATGTTCTCATTTTCTATTCACAAATTAGGAAGGATCATCGTTATATCCTTGAATGTACTGGTTTTCAATGATCAATGTATGTCTTTGCAAATTCTTACAGCGACCTTTTCGCCGACACACAGCTTTATTCGACCACAAAGTAGTTTTACATTACTTACAGTTATATGTTGAACACTTCCCAGGATGCCAAGTATAAAATTTTGAATGTGCCACCCATACATTACATGTGTCAGGTGATAGATATACAGGTTATATAACAACCACATCACCTTGACCAGAAGACGTTTGCTGTGGTAAATTAAAGTATCCATACACGAGCTACACCCAGAAAATAAAAGAGTCAAACAAAACGTTTAATATTTCTATGCGTCACATAATCAATATTTGGAAGAGGAATTTTAAACTATGATCTCAAGATCTCGTCGAATGACATTTTTTACAAATTTATAATATCTACTTTGGTTTAAATAGTTTACGTCGAGCAAAGAAAGCTGACCAAAAGCGTCCATCTTTATGTATAAGTTATGATGTTATTATGGTCATTTAGCGCATCCACTCACTCACTCACTCACGCACGCTGGCACGCACGCACGCACGCACTCACTCACTCACTCGCCTGTCCCTGATGATATTAAAGAGTGCATGTAGATATATCAAAAGTATACAAGCCTTGACACTTATACCAATTAGATGTGGTTTTGCATCCCAGTTGATGCTACTGAACATTGTGAGATAATCCCTCCCTGTAAGTTCTGATGTTTAATGTTGCTTATGGGCTTAAGGGTGTTCTGACAGTAATCACATTATGAAAACTTAAGTGAGACTGAAACTGTGAATTGCTGATTTGTCTCCATGGAATTAGTTGAAATGTGTGTCAAGCAGCATGGAAGCGTAAAAAGTTTCAGTGCAGTTAATATCAATTTGGGTATTTAGCTCTACTACAAAACTTATGCTAACACCATTCAAATGTTAATTTCTTACATGTACATTTCTTTATTTTTTTTAATTGTACGGACGTAGAACATGTATTTTTCGATAATAATTTGAGAATAGTTCTATGTTCAACCATGAACAATTGTGAATTTTTGTTTCACTTTCCACATCAGGTATTCAAGATGGTGTGGCTGTACGTTGTAGCTGCGGTCGTGGTGGTTTTCTTTCTCCTGAAGGAGTTGATGAGACTTCCAACTGTCGGCAAATATGGGGAGCGTTATGTGTTCATCACCGGCTGCGACACGGGCTTTGGGAACCAGCTGGCCAAACGACTGGACTCTCTCGGCTTCAGCGTGTTTGCAGCATGTTTCTCTGAAAGAGGAGCGGACGAACTGAGGAAAGTGTCGTCTGCCAGACTGAAGACATTGTCGCTGGATGTGTCCAAACCTGACAGTATTGTGAAAGCACGCGCAACTGTAGAAAAGCAGCTTCCGCCAAATAAAGGTAATCAATAACCTTAATATAAGTTGGACATGCATCTGACAGTTCAAAATACAGGATTGTAACCACCGGGTATGTGAGTGTGGCCTGTTACTGACTGTTATACATGATTGATGGTATGAGCATGGCCGATGTAACCAGGTCATGATGACACACAGATAACAGATTGCACAATGAGCCCCACGATCCTCGGTTTACTCGGCACTTTCGACCATGGTGCACTGGAGATCGCCAGATGTGCCACATAATCGCCATGAGGTTAATTACATAATAGATTATGTACGTCTCTAAGTAAAAACTTAAACGATGTTTGAACCAAACATTGGCTTGACACGTTGTACCCATGTGCGAAGTCGCCCCGGGACTTCGGCGTGACAGGCGAATTAACCACTAGACCATTCGATCTGTTTTCCGTTTGCATTAAACACATCAACTCTTAAACCCCTGTTTCTTGTCGCACAGGTTTATGGGCAATTGTGAACAACGCAGGGGTTCCAGGCGCCATAGGAAGGACAGACTGGCTGACCAGGGCGGACTATGAACGTTGTCTGTCCGTGAATCTGTACGGTGTCATTGACGTCACAAGAATCTTCCTGCCGCTCGTGCGCAGAGGTAAAGGTCGCGTTGTCAATATATCAAGTATGATGGGAAGGATAGCTGCCGCTACTGCTCCGTATGTTGTGTCCAAATATGGTGTTGAAGGCTTTACAGATTGTCTCAGGTTTGTACACTTACAGCGATATATATAGACGATACTTATCTTTGGACGATACTAGTATATTTATATGGTGTATGTGTTTAAATTCACCTTACAGACAATACTCACTGGGTGCTGAATACGATATGGCGGAAATCCAAATACAACGTTTAGGTTAACAAAGTCATACGTTATATGCAATGATTCGTTACCAGGTGATGACAAAGATGTTGAAGAGATTTTTCGAAAAATATATATATAGGAATAATTTGATAATATTTTGACGATCCAGTTTAAGCTACAAGATGTGACGGATTGGAAAACGTAGGGATTAGCTGACTTCACCTGTAATTCACACATACCAAACTTCATGTTATTTTTCTTTTAATTTCAGACGCGAAATTTTAAAACAGGGTGTAAGTGTCCATTTGCTGGAGCCTGGATACTTCAAAACAGATATTTTAAATATGGACGCCATTAAGAAGTCCTTCGAGAAATGTTTCAATCAGACAGATCCAGAAGTACAGCGTTACTACGGAAGCGAATATGTCCAGAAAAGTATGGTTGTAATTTATGTATCGATATTAAATAACGAATCGGATTTTTTTAGTTTTCCCGAGAAAAGACGTCATAGCTCAACACTCTATTTGTGATCAATTATTGAGAGTAGGTCCCGATTAAGTCATGCGTGTCGTGAAATACGATAAAAATTAGGTACGTTTGTTTGTTGTTTAACGCCACACTAAGCAAAAGTCCAGCGTACAAGTGTCACTTGGCTGATTGTGTGTCATCCTACTCTGGCGTCGCGGATAGGTTCTTGTGCTATCAACCATAACACTGTTGTTCCTGTCCAATCTATATTATTTAAAGGCCATGGTTATAAAGCTGGAATATGGAGGACTGGTGTAAAACAGTATTCATTCATCTTGCATGACTAGTCAAATTAACATGACTTAGTTGTTTGTTAAAGGAAAAAAACATAAATGAACAGAAAACAAAGTTTTAGGCGCAAACAAATGTGCGGTTTTTGTGGAGTAATAATAACATTGTAATAATTGCCATGCAGATAACATATATATATGTTTAGGGATGTTTCTGGTGCAAATATTGTCGGAAATTGTAAGCAATATTTTCGTTTCGTTAGAAGTGCAGTCACCAAATAATGGGTGAGACGCCATGTGCATTCACGACCCTTTCACTAAGAAAATCAGTGAAAGTGAAGATTATTTAAAACAAGATGTTAATTGATAAAAAAATGAAGTAAAGTAATGAATTCATGTGTCAAATCAAATTCAATTAAACCATGTGTTTTATTGCACTTCCAATTGTTTTACGATCACAATACTTTTTGGGTTTCAATTGGTTTTCTTTCATATCCAGTGAACACCAGGATTGATGAGATGTTGGAGAAAGTGGCGTCCCCCAAGACGCACCTGGTGGTGGACGCCTACACACACGCCATCACCGCCATGTTCCCTCGCACACGCTATCTCATTGGAAACGACTGCAAATACTTTTTCAGACCCATGTGGAACCTTCCTGAGTGGATCTCTGACCGGGTGCTATCTGCCAATTTTGTGGTGCCAGAGGGTGCCATGCAGTAGAGCATACGGGAAGAAACAACAGTTAATATTTTGTTGCGTAATCTATTGATTAAAAATGTGATGACCGCTCAATGAGTCACACCACGACTCATTTAATGATACAGTTGAAATCTGAATGTATAGGAGTATTTGTATTTGTTCGAGTCGACTTCACACATTATCGTGTGATATGTGATAGGTGAGGCACCGGCTACCAATCTGTGGATGTCCGTGCCATCAATAACAACATGACATGAGAATGGATTAAATGGCCAAATGTGTGCAGGTGCTAGTGGGCTACAGAGCTGCTAGTTAAGTACACGGAAAAAAGCTACCGTTGCCAATGGGGATCAGCATCTACCGCTTACCTGCCCTGGTAGCATATTTAATTTTAAGAATTGCTACTGTTGCATGGCAACTACCATGCTGTCAAAAGTAGCTGCTGCTGCTTGCATAAGGCAGCTACTGCTGCCCGGCCAGAGATAGCATAGTTACCAATAAGTAAAACCATTGTGGCGGCCACCACAGCCGGCCCAAATGTCAACTAACACTGACGTGACTACCGCCGCCGGCCAATTTAAGTGGCAATTGGTTTCCCAACCACGCCACAAAGCACCAAAGTGCTACCCACTCCCACGGCCAGGCGATAGACAGTGATAGCATAGCTGTCCAGCTTGCCTAGATAGGCAAACGAAACACTGACCTTTGGAGACACCATCCTCCTATTAGTGTAAACAAGTGCCAGGGCATGCAACAAATTGTCCGTAAACGCACGCACCTTTTTTGGCTGAGGTGGACGCCCTCCCAAGTGTATCATGCCTGACTGATTGCAGAATCTTGGGATATGGCACGGTTGATGTTCTTACGCATCCCCTCGGTCCTGATTGGATCTCTGGCATTGTGTCAGTAGCGACTGGGCAGCATTGTGGATATGATGGTCCTGGTGTCAGGAAGTTGGGAGTCATATCCCAAAGATTGAGGCCACCATGTCAAAGTAGAATTGGCTGCCCTTGACTGTGCACTATTGACCATGGAGACCGGGTGAAGGACGAAAGCCCTGGGGCTGCGGCATGTCGCCTTGACCTGTGCATCTAAGATGGTGTTCAGCTGCTTCCACCTCATTCCACCTCGCGCCAACCATAGCATACTCGGTTGGTCCAGACTAATGCCCTTCGGAAGCAAGTACTGCCGTGCCCTTGCCATATAGCTGGAGCCAACCATTCAAACTCTTGTAGCTGATGTGCGGACCGGACATAAGGCATTGATGCCTGTTTGGTGTGTGGACCATGTGTGTGGACAGTGATTGTTGTAGGAGTCAACCAGACTCTTGCCTCACATCAGCCATACGTTGCCCGGGATAGGTGCTGGGTTCTGGACTGCATATGGCGCTCAAGACATGCGCGACACATCAAAACTTAGTTCCTGAAAAAGCTGGTGGAACCCTTGACGAAAAAAGTTAAATTAGACCACCTACATGTTAATGATATATACAGAATATGATATCATTCAAGATATGATGGGACAAGCTATGAAATTGCTAATGTGTTGTGTGATATGACATGTTGAAATGTGATATAATATAGGTATGATATATGGTACGATGGTATGTATGGTATGTTATGATATGATAATGGTATATGAAATAATACTATATAGTATGATCTTATAATAATGATACAATATGATGTGATGTTATAGAATATGTTGTATGATATAACAAGTTGTGATATGTTAAAATAGAAATTATGAAATTACAGGGTATGGTATTGTACTGTATGTGTGAAATTATGTGACTGTGTTGAGATGCGATGTGGAATGACGTGAGGTGATTTGGTGAGATATGTACATAAATTGTATAAAATTGTATATTCTTCAAATTGTACTATAGGCCTGTGGCCTCTTCAGTACGTGAAATAAAGATAAAACAGATATCATTCATGATGTTCATAATGATGGTGATGAAGAACATAAAGTGCAGGGTCTTGAACACATTCGGGAAATTACACAGCAGAACTGACAGAAAGATATATAGGCAAAAAGGAAAGACTAGGAAGGACAAGGGCAGCGTGAAAGGTTGATAGAAGGAAAGGGAAAATGGATGGGGCGTTCTTGGGTCGACTGGCTACAGCCATACGTTACGTGAGCTATTTCGGGGAATAACGTTGACAGAATCAATGATTGCAACTGTTTGCACAGTAAGCAAGTGCGGGATGTACATATAATTCAGTGCATTTCAGTGCAAAAACATGTGAAACTTACTTTGTCTGACAGTTGCTGTATCATGTGATAGACATGGTGTTTAGTTACATCGTTTATCTCCCCAGATGTACAAAACAATTATAAGTATTTTATACACGACACGTAGTTTTGGGGTAAAATAATTTATTGTTTCCATCAGATCAACTCCTTCGACAACCAGAAATTGTGGCCAAGGTTCTACATTAAAGACAAATTCATCATCAGAAGACAAAACCGAATCTGCATCAATATAACTTCTTTTTGTTTTTGTACGAGAACCAGTGAACTGTGAGGTAGCCATAATGAAAGTAAAATTATTCAACACCCCTGCTCCCAAACCATCATGGAGTGTTTACAAGGACGGTGTTGAAGTGGCAACCACCTACAAACACCATAGTCGTTGCCCAATTTGGTCGCCTCTTACAATCAGCAATGGGACTGCTACTCTGGGTCCCAACGGGGCGAGATGATGGGACACATGACCTTCTAAAAGATGGATCTGGTGGTGGACGCCAACACACTCGCCATCACCGCCGTATTAATATACGCTATCTCGTTGGTAACGACTGCAATTACATATGCAGATCCCTGTGGAATCTCTCTGAGTGAATATCGTACCGTATCTTGTTTCTAAGATTCGTGAAGCCTGAAGGAGGACAATGAGGGCTGAAAACAAACACGGATTTGGTCTGAAGGTGGTGCTGGTATTTTGATGGAGGAAAGGGTGTAGGGTTTCGAGTAGGTCTAGGGTTTGGACGAACGGTTCCTTTATGGATAGGTTAAGGATCCAGGTAAAAGGCTCGGACTAGGGCAAAGGTCAGGACTATGACTAGGGGCCCCAATGTCTATTGAAAACCCGAACACATGCTGAGTCTACACAGATGGGACATATTTCACCTTTGAGATTGTCATGGACACATATGAACTCGAATAAAGCCTATTTTTAAGAGCTATTCATGTTGTTACTGTAAGACACGTAACGTTGCTCATGAATATTTTGTTATTGTACATAATTAAGTGTTGGCCATGAATATGCTGTTACTATAGCATATGAAATGTTTGTCATAATTTTGTTATTACTGTACATAATTAAGTGTTGGTCATGATTATATTGTTACTGTACCATACGTAATGGTGGCCATGAATATGTTGTTATTGTACATAATTAAATCTTTGTCATAATTTTGTTGTTACTGTACATAATAAAGTGTTGGTCATGATAATTTTGTTACAGTAAATAGTTAAATGTTGGTCACGATTATGTTGTTATCGTACCATACTTAAGGTTAGGCATGGGTATGTCGTGGAGTGTAGAAAAACAGGCATGACGACCTACACTTGGAGTATAGGCCTGTCAACCTCCAAATGAAGAATCGGAGCAGATGCATGTCAACCTCTGCGTGGAGTTTAGAAGGACAGGCATTTCGATCTCCACGAAGAAATACCATAGGCCTCTGTGCATATTGTCAAGTATCAGTAACACGAGTGCAGTCCCATTTATTTTTATTATAACGTGATATTAAAAATAGGAGTACATGAATGTGAACAATCACCGAGTAGCTGCATGAATCAATGTTCAAGTCCAGCAGAGTTAATAAGATTAATAATCTCTCAATATCGGAACAGGGATCACAAAGATCTGGCTTGGTAAATATTTGTCATGTTGGAAATCGAACCTCAATTTGGAGGAATTAAGCACTCAATGTCCCACAGTAAGGGACCCGTAAAGATTCCGGGGTAGAATAGGTATTCAGCAACCCACGCTTGCCGTAAAAGACGACTAAAGAGATCGGGTGGTCTGGCTCGCTGACTTGGTTGATGCATGTCATCGATCACAATTGCGTGGATCGATGCTCATGATATCAATCACTGGATTGTCTGGTCCAGATTCGATGATTTACAGACCGCCGTCATATAGCTGGGATATTGCTGAGTGCGGCGTTAATCAACAAACCAACCAATCAACCAACCCACAGTGAGAACAGGTAGTACTGTGATCTACAGCTCTGCACTTTGCTGTGATACCTGCCCCACTGGTTGCACCCTTCACAAACACATGCAAAGGCAAGTCAATTGTTCTAAAAACACAGGGACATATAGTATAAGTGAAAATAGAGAATTGCATCGGACATAAGTTTGGTCACTGTTGGAAAACTTTTCTAAGGCCTTGATTGTTGTAACCCAGTTTGAGATATAGTCTAATAGAGAGAGAGCATATTGTGAATTGTCAAATGCTGGAGTTCATTCATCGAAAGTTGACGATAGTAAAGTTGGAGTCATCCCTAGGGCTTCTTGTCAGAAAGCCATGTGGAAATATTTTGTTGCTCTATAATTGCATGTTCAAGTCAAAATATGAAACAGTTGAGGCCTTTCCACTGGTCGCCATTTTGTCCAGTTCAGGTGGGTAAATCGGTTGAAGGAAATTGACTATTTGACCATTATTGAACGATATAAGATCATCGATATACTTGACTGAAGTTTAAGTTTCAGTAGCCGTATTCTTGGCCTTATTCTTTTGTTTTGTCAATTCGAGCAGAAATTCAGAGATATATGCATAATTTACATGCATAATTCTTAAGGCAAAAACTCAACAAGAAGGGGAGCACAACTGGTGCCTATGGAAAATGTCTTCGTCTTGTGTAAATGTCCTGTCCATTTATTTCACACAGATGTTATCAATGAAAACGTCAAGCATTTCACATACTGTTTTCTCAGTAAATCCCAGGTGACATTTGCTTTCACTTTTGACAAATGACCACCTCCTTTGGCTAGTGGTAGCGCGTCCGCCCGTCTGGGGTTCGGTCCCGGCCGCGTCATATCAAAAGACGTTGAAAGATGGTTTGTATTGTTTCCCTGCCTGGTGCTAGGCAGTAAGGGGCTAGAACAAGGACTGGTCGGCTCGGAGTCAGTATACTGTGTCTGAGTAGGGTATTCATGTTAAACTGCGGCATTGTATCTCATTGGGCCTGCACTAAGAAAGGTCCGGACTAGTACACGAAGACACACACACACACACACACACACACACACACTAACACACTAACACACACACACTAACACTAACACTAACACACACTCACTAACACACACACACACACGCACACACGTCGCTATAAGTGCAATAATATAAACGCGACGTTTAACCCCCTTTCACCTCAAATTTCACCCAATTATCAACTCTGTAAATCGTAACAACGTTTCGTGTCAAATAATAAATAATATACTGAACCGCAAAAGAAACGTCACCTCAAGTAACATTGCATGAAGAGTTGTCATTTAAATATCTGGGTAATTTTTGAAGTTTCTAAAATTTACATTACCTTGAAAAATCCGGAAAAATGAAATTTGATGATAAAAAACAAAGCAGATGACAATGAAACCGATCGCCCAAACGCATCACGGCAACGGCAATGGTAACCCGATGTAGTTCCGTGCGAATTGAAACGCACATGCGTTCCCCCATTTCTTGCCCTATAAAAATCCACCCAGATCGGATAGCATTCATTCGTTATTGAATTGCTGCCACATGCCATGATTGACAAGAAATCAGCGACACCAAGCCCTTGGATGATTGCAAGCTGGACAAACCGTCCGGCAAGAAGCCAATGCATCAAGTCCACGTAAGGACCATATACAGGCTCAAGCAACGGTACCAGATCACCAACAGATGACCGACCACGTATTGGAAGACCAAGGTTCACCACCCGACGTCAGGGTCGTCAGATTGTGCGACAGCATCTTCAACATCGCTTTGTTACTGCTGCGGAAACTGCTCGACACACCATGGAGACACACAGGCGACACATTAGTGCAGATACCGTGCGTCGACGATTGACGAGCTGACGCCTCCACTGTCACAGGCCATACCGATGACCCACTCTGACACTACGTCATCGCCGGGACCGTCTTCAGTGGGCAATACAGCACCAGCCTTGTCACCACCACCAGTGGAGAAGAGTCCTCTTCTCAGACGAGAGCCGTTACTGTATTTCAACAGCAAATGGCAGAGAGAAAGTCTGGCGACGCCGTGGGGAACGTTATTCGGATGCTTGTGTTGTTGCGAGAGACTCGGGGTATGGTCCGAGCATCATGGTGTGGGGTGGATTTGGTCTTGCACAGAGGGTCGGCCCTGTGGTCATTCAGAACATCGGTCCAGGGAGAGGCAATTGTGTCACAGCAGCTCGGTACATTGATCATGTCTTGAGACCACACGCCATACCTCATTTGGCACATCGCTGTAACCACCAGTTTCAGCATGATAACGCCCGTACCCACACTGCGAGAGCAACAAGAGACTTCCTCCAGCAGAATGGCATCAAAACCATGCAGCGGCTTGCCCTCAGTCCCGATTTAAATCCCATTGAGCACCTGTGGGACGAGATTCAAAGACGGCTGAATGACGTCCGACCAAGGCCGACAACTGCAGCTGAAATGTGTCAGGCGTTCCTCAGAGTGTGGACCCAAGTGCCTTTGGCCTTCATCAACCGCCTCATCCATTCCATGTATCGACGTTGCACAGCAGTCATCCAAGCACATGGCGGACAAACGAGATTTTGACTTGTGATGCCATTTTCTCAGAGACTAGTGTTGTTTTTCACTTTAAGAACATTTGACACTTTAATTGCAACTATGATAATCAGTTTTGCCAAGTTTCATCTTTTTAATATGTCTCAAAGTATGTTTACAGTGTTTGGACGAAAAAGGTTTCTCATATATCTATCCATGGTGACGTTTCTTTTGCGGTTCACTATAGTTGACTCTCGTGTGTACAAAAGTGAAAAATCAAATGTGTTAACAATATTGAACTCGGTTCTCTTTTGAGATTGTAAATATTAATCATCAAATATCCCTCATGAAGCTGGCACGCCGTGATATAAGTGAAATATTGTTTAAAGCGGCGTTAATCCCGACTCACACACTCGATGTCCGTTCTGATGGAAGATATCTCTCTTGTTCAAGGGCCATTGGCTGAAGGACTTCATCTGTTGTACTGTCACTTGACGTCCTACGTATCCAAGACGGATCCGGAACCAGGGCATGTTTTAGTTTCTGAAATGTCGTTTATTGTGTCAATACATCAAAGATTTATTTAATAATTTATAAGCTTCAGATTGTTTGTAGACTATATATAAAGTAACTTATTCTATGTTTCCGACTTGATAAATCAGAGTGAGTGAGTGAGTTGAGATTAACGCCGCTTTAAACATTCCAGTTATATCACGGCGTGTCAGCTTAATGTGGGAGGAAAGCCCGAAGTGATGCAGGTCTCAGACGTTTACCACTTCGGTGAAACCCATGAGCCTGGGTATGGTGCTGACAAACCTAGAAACATAATCGGGGCGAACCGGGATTCGAACCTACAACCAAAGGTTTCTGGCGTGCCCAAGGGACGCAACTCTGCACAGCGAAACGCAGCGCCTTGGACGACTGGGCCACCCGTGTCCCCGATAAATCAGAAATGTTTGACACAGTAACATTAGGACAACAAACATTCATCTGGAAATTAAATTTTGATCAAATCAGAGTGAGTGAGCGAGTTTGATTTTACGCCGTTTGTAGCAATATTCCAGCAACATCACGGCGGGGGAAACCAGCTATTGGGCTTCACACATTGAACCCATGTCGAGTCTTCGGCGTGACGACCGAACACTTTAACCACTAGGCTACCCGACCTTATAGATTATATAGTTTTCGAAGTGGTGTAGACCAAGCTGTAGAATGGTCGGAATCATGTTAGGTTCGGACATTTACTTATGCAAATGTGATTATTGAATGCGATTCTTACATCTAAAACATATACCTTTGCAAATGTTCAAATGAATGATTCAACTTACCATTTTTAGAGTGTTTCCACTTGATCTGAAGACAGTTACGCCGAAAACGATAGGAAGCGGAACCAGAGAGCAAAGAGATACCATCCAGCCAACTACCGTAGCCCAGGGAGGGTAGTCATAGTCACCATACTTAGGAGGCCGGTATGAATACAGGGAATGGCAGAAGATAATCTATAAAAAATAGTGATCAAATCATGAAGTACTGTCTCTACTTAGCGAATGTCATAATCATATTATTGTTAAACATATTCATATTATATGCATGCGATTTAGTCATGCTATTAATAACTGAATCATAAAAAATATGAAGGTGAGGATGCACTATAGAATAAACGTCATTTTACAATATATCTAGTTAATATACCTTCTTCGATGCAGTCAATTATCGCGTTGAAAATGTCACCACATTAAATATGGAGTTCTCTGTGTCCATGTGCATATTAAAATTCTATTGACTTTATGTTGGCGTACTAGGTATGCTTTTATAAATTCCACCCCAAGGCAAATAAGGTCTCCAGCTCTTTGCAATATTCCAGTAATATGAGGGCGGGGTACACCTGAAATGGGCTCTATGATCAGTGGCTGACTTCTTCACAGCATGGGTACAATGTGTGAGGTCCATTTCTGGTGTCCCACGCCGTGAAATTGCTGGAATATTGCTAAAACGGCGTAAAACCATACTCACTCACTCAATATTCTTCACAGACAGATGAAATGTTACCGACTGTAGCGTAAAACATAAATTATAACTCAAAATGATTTTTTTACTATTTATGTTTACTTCGGAATGTACTTAACACGATCGTGAAATAGGTCCTGATATCCAAATAACCTTCGTGGAGGTGTTTAATGGGGTTGAATTATATTGTTTCATATATATTTAGCTGTTGTGAAGCATACCAGTAGAAGCAGAGGGCAGATGTACTTGATAGAGATTATCATCACGCGGGGAACAGACTTTCCCCACATGGAATTGATGTCCTCTTGAAGCCTTCTTGCGCCTGAAATGTATAATGGTCTAATGGTAAATAACTATGTCAAGTACATGACTTGTATGTTTTTAACTGCTATGTAACATCAAGTATATTCGGAATGAAGGTTGAAAAAGATCTTCCTGCCCTGAATGAAAGTCATGACGGGAACCATTGAGACACAGAGCCACTCCTCCTGCAGAGCTGAACAGTGTTGGTCCTATACGTGAGGCTCTTCAGGCCATTAACGCACGCCGCGTCAGAATTCACCCCACAGTTCAATGGAGTATAGGCCAGGACTTTCGAATTCTTAATCAACTGACACAAGCGCTGTGTGTTGACAGACGAAGTATTATTGGAATTTAACCTGATTCAGGGTCCATGCTGGTAGCAAAAGTATTGTGATCTACCTTCAGTTGCTGGCGAACAATAGCACTTTTCATATTGTATTGTTCCATTTAGTAGTATCTTTTTATGATTGTATGCTAGTTTTAAATATCAATCTGTAATATTCTAGTTATTTTACTGTCAATCGATGACAGGTTTTTATTTAGTCTAAATATACTCAACAACAAAAGTTCCTGTGACACCAATATTTTAGTGTATTTTTCAAACAAGTAAAGTTTGGTTTTCAATATTGTAGAACATGTATGGTATCAAGTCACAAAAACGCAACTGCTACAGAAAAGCATGCATTCCATGCAAAGGTTGGCTCTTATGCAAGTCCCATGCATTTCACTACCCAAGAATGGGTATAAAAACATGTGTCTAAATGGGATTCCATATGCATTGTTTAGCATCGTGCTGACAACAACCACTCAGAAAAACAATAAAATTACGCAATTAATCAACATTACGAAATATCACGCCTGTCCGAAAATGAGCGTCTGCGAGCCATTGGTTAGCCTGAAGCAGGATCGAGTCAACGTGATGTTGCAAGACAATTTAACGTCCACAGAAACACCATTTGGTGTTTATGTCAACGTTGGAAACAGACGAATGCAGTCAGAGACCATCCTCGGAGTGGCAGGCCACGCGTAACCAATAATCGACAAGACAACTGAATTCGAACAACACACCTACGAAATCGATTCCAGCCCGCAACAGTGACTGCAAGAAGCATCCCTGGCCTTCGACGAATATCTTCACAAACCGAACGTCGTCGGCTCAGATGTGCAGGGATTGTCGCTAGAAGACCCAACAGACGTCCCATTTTGACAGGACATTTTGACTCGTTTGATAGTGGTAGAGGGAAATCTCAATGGACAGCGCTACCGCGACGAGATCATCGGCCCTGTTGTTACCTTACAACATGACAACGCCTGGCCTCATATTGCGCGACTTGTTCATGATTCTCTTCAACAAAACAACGTGAATGTCATGTCCTGGCCGGGTCGCTCCCCTTATCTCTCACCAATCGAGCACCTGCGGGATGAGATGGATCGGCGCTTTCGACGTCAACCACGTGTTTCACAGACACTCCAGGACCTTCGAAACATGTTCCAGCAGATATGGACAGATATCCCACAGGACTTTGTGCGACGCCTGGTCCATGCCATGAGACGAAGATGTTTTGCTTGCATCGCAACCAGAGGTGGACACACACGCTATTGATTTGTAAATTAACATTTTGGCATGTTCATGGGTTGTTTTTTTATGAAATCACGCATTTTCTGAAGTCAGTATGGCAATTTAAACCAATTGAACACTTACAGGAGTCTTTTATCTGTTGCAAACCGAAATTGTTTCAGATTTGGTAAAAAACATAACTTTGCATTAAATCTTATTCAATGTCACAGGAACGTTTGTTGTTCAGTATATATATGTATATAAATAATGTAAATTTCTCGTCATGATATGGCTGAAATACTGCCGATGTGACGTTAGATATTAACCCACTCACTCAACCTGATTCAATTCTACACGGAGGGTAACGGACTGGTCTCATAACCTCAGAACCACGATAACGAACCTGTCTTAGTTGAGCACCAAGGCGGATCAGGTTGCGCCATAGTTATAATCGGGCAGGATCCTCGATTCATCACTAAACAAGGTTTGACGCCAATTTCGCAACTCGACGAAAATTCGGCGACGACATTTCTATCCTGCATCAGTATACGTATCGCGTACGGTTGGAAACTTTAATCGCTATGATACCTGAATCTGCCCCGTGACCCTTATCTGACGGGTTTCACATCGTTTTGCACCTACCACGACCATGCAGCATTTTTCACATCAGTGGCTCAGCTATGCAAATTCCTTTACTTTGAAATCACACTAATTGTTCATTTACAAGTAACCTGTCAAATACCTTTTCTTGAAGACTAGTAACAACCTACATGTCATCATGCCTATTGCTTGTCATTTGTCATATATTGTCTCGCTGACTACTGTAACAAAGCACCAACGGCAACATAATGTTTCTGCATACATTATGTGCAAATGTGGTTCATTTGGGTGCATTCAACCGTGCAAAATCCCTTGTAGACATCATACAATGTGACGTGTTTATGCTCTGTTTCAATTCAAGTCTCATGCGATTCAACTGTTCCACAAACACACACGCGCCTTTCACCCCTTACGACTGTTGGCGACAAGATCTTTCACTTGGACCTTACATAACAACAGCCAGCGATACGGTCTAATTTCACCTATACCAAACATAAGAGCAGCCAGGAACACGGTCTAGCTTCACTTATATCTCATGTAATAACATCCAGAGCACGGTCTAGTTTCGCTTAGGTCTAACATAACAACATCCAGAGCACGGTCTAGTTTCGCTTAGGTCTAACATAACAACATCCAGAGCACGGTCTAGTTTCGCTTAGGTCTAACATAACAACAACCAGAGTATGGTCTGGTGTAACTTAGATCTAACATAACAACAACAAGAGCATGGTCTGGTTTCACTTAAATCTACCATACAAGTAGCCAGAGCATGGTCTAGTTTCACTAAGATCTAACATAACAACAACAAGAGCCTGGTCTGGTGTCACTTAGATCTTACATAACAACAACAAGAGCATGGTCTGGTTTCACAGGGCGAACATAACAACATCCAACAAAAGGGGCTAATTTCATTTATATCTAAGTTAATACAGCCAACAACACAGTCTAACTTCATATATATCGAACAACAACCAGAGTACGGCCTAGTTTCACTTAGATCTAACGTAACAACAGCCAGACCTCGGTCTAGTTTCACTTAAATCTAAAAGAACAACAACCAGCAACACGAGCTATTTTCACTTATATCTAACGTAACAACAGCCAGATGACGGTCTAGTTTCACTTATATCTAATATAACACCAGTAAGGCCTGCTAGCACTTGGACTATATATAACATCAACAAGGTCCAGTTTCACTCGGAGCTAACAAACAGCGGCCATGAATAAACCTTATATAATATCAACAAGGCCTGGAAGCACTATTATACAACATTAGCAAGGCCCAGTTGCACTTAGACCTGACAAAAGAGCAGTCAGCAACAAGAAGGTCTAGTAGCACTTGTACCGTATTTTACATCAACAACGTCCAGTAGCACTTGTACCGTATAGGCACATTTGCTACAGAACTTACCATAACACCAGCCAACAATAAGGCACATTTGCTACAGAACTTACCATAACACCAGCCAACAAAAAGGCAAATTTGCTACAGAACTTCCCATTACAAGACAACAACAAGGCACATTGGCTACAGAACTTTCCATAACACCAGCCAACAAAAAGGCACATTGGCATCAGGAGAACTTACCATAACACCAGCCAACACCAAGGCACTTTGGCTACAGAACTTACCATAACAAGACAACAACAAGGCACATTGGCATCAGAACTTCCCATAACACCAGCCAACAACAAGGCACTTTGGCTACAGAACTTACCATAACACCAGCCAACAACAAGGCACATTTGCTACAGAACTTCCCATAACACCAGCCAACACCAAGGCACATTGGCATCAAAACTTTCCATAACACCAGCCAACAAAAAGGCACATTGGCATCAGGAGAACTTACCATAACACCAGCCAACAAAAAGGCACTTTGGCTACAGAACTTACCATAACAAGACAACAACAAGGCACATTGGCTACAGAACTTTCCATAACACCAGCCAACAAAAAGGCACATTGGCATCAGGAGAACTTACCATAACACCAGCCAACACCAAGGCACTTTGGCTACAGAACTTACCATAACAAGACAACAACAAGGCACATTGGCATCAGAACTTCCCATAACACCAGCCAACAACAAGGCACATTTGCTACAGAACTTATCATAACACCAGCCACCAACAAGGCACATTTGCTACAGAACTTACGATAACACCAGCCAACAACAAGGCATATTGTCTAAAGAACTTCCCATAACACCAGCCAACACCAAGGCACATTGGCATCAAAACTTTCCATAACACCAGCCAACAGAAAGGCACATTGGCATCAGGAGAACTTACCATAACACCAGCCAACACCAAGGCACTTTGGCTACAGAACTTACCATAACAAGACAACAACAAGGCACATTGGCTACAGAACTTACCATAACACCAGCCAACAACAAGGCACATTTGCTACAGAACTTACCATAACACCAGCCAATACCAAGGCACATTGGCTACAGCACTTCTCATAACAAGACAACAACAAGGCACATTGGCTTCAGAACTTACCATAACAAGACAACAACAAAGCACATTAGCTACAGAACTTACCATAACACCAGCCAACAACAAGGCACATTGGCCTCAGAACTTACCATAACACCAGCCAACAACAAGGCACATTTGCTACAGAACTTACCATAACACCAGCCAACAACAAGGAACATTGGCTTCAGAACGTACCATAACAAGACAACAAGAAGGCAAATCGACTTATGAACTTACCATAACACCAGCCAACAACAAGGCACATTGGCATCAGAACTTACCATAAAACCAGCCAACAACAAGGCACATTGGCATCAGAACTTACCATAACACCAACCAACAACAAGGCATTCCAGAATGACAAAAATTGCAACGGATGGGAAGTACGTAAACCAGTCCACGAGCGTCAAAACGTATATTCCACCCTGAAATACGGGAACTCAGATGTAGATTGGAACAGTGATCATCTTACTGTACATAATTTAGTTTGAAGTAGCATGAATGTTGTAACTATTATGTTGTGTTATTTTTGAGGGTTTGCATTCACATCAGGTAAAAGAATATCAAGGTTATGACGTAAGTTAACTGATGGTATATTATGTGATATCATATCACGAAAAGCGTGTTGACACCTTCATGTGTCTTAATGTGATATATAGATGTTTCAAACCGAGGCAACGACACTGGACTTCATCTTACCTGCGTAATATACAGCAATGCGAAGAGAAAGTTTCCTACAGCGATTGCGCCAGTGACAAGCCACCTGCGTTCAGCTTGTACCGGAAACTGGTCTCTTACTGCAGCCACGACGATTTCAAATGCGGGAACCTGTCAATACAACATTACCTGATTGGATATATAGGAACACAGTGTAACGAAGTTAACTAAAGGCACTGGGCACTGATATTATCACCTGTTTATAACTGCTTCATGTTTACCAGTACTAGTTCGAGTACACTGACTTTCTATTGTACAAAGTAGAGAGAGAACAGTATACAGGATGGAAAAAAACATGTTTTTTGTGTTGTTTCTTTTGTTTGCGCTAAACGCTCCAAAACTGCAGCTACATGACGACAGCCTATAAGTATCAAGTATGGAACAGACGGTCCAGTTATTGATATTATGAGGTGTGACCTACCGATTATTTAAGTCGCTTCTTACGACCAGCATAGGTTCCTGAGGACATATTCTAAATTGGAATCCTTACGGAGAACATTACATGTATAACATATGGCATGCTGCTGAAAAGAACATCACCAGTGAATCTATCTCCAGAGTCATCAGCATCAGGAAGGTGAAAACCGCCCACACCTGAGGCAAAGGGAGGTAAGTCAGGATTTGTGGGAAGACAATGAATATCAGATTGAATCCTGAAAAAAAACAAAGATGGTATTCATCAAGGATATGTGCAGTAATCCTGAACAGATTGTGTGTATTCATAAGCCTTTCTTTGTGTGTTTCAGATATATGTTGTTATTTGTAAGTAATATAAATGGTGGAAGAAAACTGTTGCAAATATATATTGGGAAGAGAAGCCTATGATTGAAGTACTGATATTGAAATATCAAGTGATGTCGTGGAACCGCAGACAAGAGCATATGTGGACTTTTTCATAAACTGTTCGCTTTGAGATCAGCCTTTGACAGATAACTATCTCTTGCTAATGTTTAGATATGACAGTGTATAAACAATAACTTATCGATTAATACATAAAGTTTTATTCACGATATCATTTGAACATAGCTGAACAAATTGCAGTCACTGTGTTGTATACTCCTCGGAGAGATGGCAATGCATTCTTACTATACACTGATCTTGAAAATATGTAATCTCGTTTCTTGATATGATTATGATGATGACGATAATTATTATTATTATGATGAACGTATTATTATTATTATTATTTACAGATTAAAACAAAAAAATGCAGCAAAGAGGGCTTGGATGATCCTGGCACAGTCAGGCCGGCTGGGCTCATCATCAGCTCAGGGCCCTTGCCCCCTCTACACGCAGCCCAGACAGCGAATGGGACTTCTCCCAGGAAGCGCTGCCCAGTCAAACCCACCCAGAATCTTTCGGAGAATGTGAAGACTCCCCAACACTGCAGCCTTCTGCATTACCCAGATAGTCAGAAGGGCTGTATTCCTGGTAGCAAACCCGGGTACTCTCCCAATGTCAGTCAACTTGATGATGTACGCCTGGGCCTGATGATGCACGCCTCTCCGTGGTGGGCCCAGGTAGGGCATCTTCTCGAGGCAAGAGAGTTAACTGATTTTAAAAGTCCAGTTTCCACCCTTGCCGAACTAGGCTGGAATTCCTGGGCTCGATCGTAGCGCCACCAGTGGCTATTACGAGTTATGTCCTTTCAATGCCTCTCCTATTGACCAATGAGATTCAACTTCTCGTATCACCTGCAGTTGCTTCAAAAAATACGGTGGCGCGCAGTCAAGACGATCTGATTGATAATCAAGATCTATATTGTGATACAACGAGTCTTACATCGCGAAATGCATCAACTCACGTGAGCACCTTGATTAAAAGCATGATAAGATTTAGAAAATATCTATTGACAACGAGTTAGCGGTGCACATGTTTTGCAAATCCTGCAGTCGACCGAAATCTGCATGACACTTTACGAACCGGATTTCGATTTCGGTGCGCGATTTTGATTGGACTCTGCACAGACTCGTTAGTCCAGCCAAAATGTAACTCCATAATACCAGCCTAGTTCGGCCACTGGACTTTTATGGTCAGTTAACTCACTTGCCTCGGGAAGATGAGGTAGGGAGGATTAACGTATTATTATTATTATTATTATTATAACTGCCATACGATATCTGTTCCGTATACGTCAAAGTAAGTCTCACCTGATGATTCAAAGTCCTCCACAGATAGACCCCGTTTGTAGGCAACATGCCCAATAACCGCGAAGAAAGCAAATCCAAATATGATCGTGCTTATCATGTCGATCAGCGTTACCTGGATAGCATCTCTGAAGATTAGAAAAGATTTAAGAAAGTGATGATACCAGGTGTTCGCGAAAAGGGTCAGTATGTCATGCACCCGCCATTCATAGTATAAACATAGCAATGTAAGTATTTATGTTAGTAAGATGAACCAGGAAATCCAGTGACACGAGAGTACAATTTCTTATTTGTTGAAACTTATAAAACGGTACGTTAAGTTTGATCTACGTCTGCTGTGTACAAGTGCAAAGATTGTTGAGAAATATACACTCTTAAACAAATGAAACGAACAGGTAGTATGTAGTTCATTGAACCTGACTACACAAAAGATCCGGTATATGAATTGGATATATGTCATTGGAAAATGTTGTTGGCCTGATATTCGACAAACGGTGCTTCAAAACGAAGCAATTGACGATTTGCAATGATTTGCAATGTCTTAAACGGCATTGTTTCAACACTTGTTCAAAACTGTCATGGAGGAAAAGAGTAAAGCAAAATGCACGTGCAAGTTATGGCATTCTTAACTCGTGGTAGTGGTTATGAAAAGGCAAGCATAGGCCAATAATTTGTCATTCAATTGTCAACATTTTTCGAAAATGCCGAGACTCAGCGCTGCTGATTGGAACATCGCTATAGGACGTATCTAAAGAGGGGAGTCGCCGTCTTCTGTTGCACGCCTTTGGGACCGACACACACAGTTCGATTCGACTGCAGACCGTCCAAGAATCGGCCGACCAAGAGTTACCACCCCTGCATGGGATCGCTATATTCGACTTCATCCTACGTCATCGCAATGCCACAGCTACGGAGACTGCAGGATGCATCCCTGGTTTGAGGACGATATAGGACCAGACTGTCAGGAACCATCTTCGCGAGGCTGGAATCCGACCCAGAAGACCAGTTATCGTCCCTGTTTGCAACAGATCCATCGACAGCGACGCTTGCCTGGGTGCCATATCTTACTGCCTTGGCATTTGAGAAACTTGAGACGAGTGTGGTTTAGCGATGATTTCTTCTTCACCGGTGACACGTAAGACCGTGTTTATCGCTGTCGAAATGAGCGTTTTATTCGACGAATTCGGAGGCGGTAGTGTCACGGTGTTGGGGGCCATATCCTACACCACGAGATCTGGGACTTGGTTGTCGTTCAGGGAAATTTGACAGCAAATCGCTACATGAATCAAATTCTTCAACCTCACCTTCTTCCAATCATTGACCGCCAGAGGGATCTGTTTCAACAGGACAACCTTCCACCGCACACAGCTCTTGCCACGGTAGACTACCTTCATAATTCCAGCATCAATGCCTTGCCCTGGCCGTCGAGATTTTCTGATCTCAACCCAATCGATCACCTTGGGATGAACTCGATACGTCAACGTCAGGTCACGCCGCAGACACTCTCATAACTGGGCAACGCGTTACAAGCAGAATGGTGCAGAATTCTGCAGGACAGAATTCCTACAATTATCCAGTCACTGCCGAAGAGATGCAGAGCCGTGATTGCTGCCCGGGGCGGTCACACGAGATACAACGTTCAGCGCATGACATTACAATGAACAGGTTTCAATGCCTTTGTACAACGACAACATGTGACTATCGAGCTCCAAAGTTTCATATTTGTATCAATGATATTATATATATTAACAAGATTAACAAAATCTACCTGTGCGTTTCTTTCTTTGAAGAGTGTATACGGTTCTCCACGAGTGGGGCGCAGTTATAAAGTCTCGGCTCAAACATTTCATTTATAGCTGACTCAGCAAAGATATATCCTTATATAAACTAACCTGAACATATAGTTGTACGTACTTGAAACAGTTATTGCTGAACCTACTGTGCCCAGACAGCGTGATGACACATCCGAATCCAATACCCAAAGAATATAAGGCGAAGCTGCATGCCTCAATCCATATCTGAATAAACAAAGAACAACAACATGCCTTTTGTTGTAGAGAAGTATTCAACTCCAAACACTATTCCGTCATTGACAGAAGTAGGATGCATCAAACGCGATCGCCCTTCCCACCAAGCTACATACCAAGTTGCTTTTCCTCTGTGATCACGAAAGTTAAAGTACATATTCATGAGTATTTTAGGGTTGAACCAATAAAACTCTTACTTTCGGTTCAAGTAGTTTCTCAAACCGTGGGTAGATGTAATAATAAATTCCATCTGCGGATCCAGGAAGTAGACAACCACGGACGAGGAAGACAAGCATGAGGACGTATGGCACCGCAACGGTGACGTACACGAGCTGAAAAGAGAAAATTAAACCAGAAATTAAGCCAAGTATTTCATACTGATGGTCGATGACTTAGTTATTCCGCGACTCTCACATACAATTATCACCAGCTAGGTTAACATTTCCGATACGTTGCTTTGAAAGGCATAATCTCAGTAACGAACGAAATGGAATACAAACATTTTAAAATATGACTTATTTGACTACCTTGCCAGATACCCTGATTCCCTTGAATACACAGAGGAATAATATGACGTAAGTGATGAGGAGGCAAGCGGCCATTGTCCATCGTAGGTCACCAATTGTCTCTAATCCAGAGGTAACTTGAAGCACTTGTAATCTTATGAAACAAACAAGATAATGTGCGCTTCTTATTTGTATAAAATATCCTGTATGAGTCATAATTAAATTTCTCTAAAATAAAACGTAACTCCTCAAAAATGGTGTTTTCAAATAAGCATACTTTTAACAATACACATAATATTTTCTGGTCATGACCCTTTCAGTTAAATGGGCACATCAAACACAACCTTACAATAAATATTGTTCACATTTCTTCAAGGGCACCCGTAAGGTTAAAATAGTAAAGTGAATGCAAAACATTCTAGATCATAAGAGGCAGCCTACATTGCATAATCCACAAGGAAATTACGAGCTAATCTGATATATGTTCTGCTGTAATGGGCTTTGGCTTGGAAAGACTTATGCTGTGTGTATTCTATAACCAGAAAATATTTATTATCATCAGTAGTATTCCTATGCTTACCTCCAAAACTCTTCGGTAGCAGTCATTCCGGCGACAGATGTAACATTAATGGGGCCTGTACCATACGTGCCCACAGTTGAATTGGTTAGCATATCTGAGACATTAGTTAACGTTCTATTGTCATCGATGGTATGAGATATACATGTTTCTGTATTCCAGGTGTTGCCACAGTGCCCCCACGGAAGGGAGGATGAAAATGAGTTGTAGAAATAGTAGGCAAACCAAGCAAAGATTACACTGTAGGACGTCGTGTAGAGAAACATGATGATCACCGTTCCCACACCAATACCTGGAATCATAGAAACAGACAAAACTACTCTTCCATCCTTATACAGTTATACCCCCCATGGCATGTGTTTGTAACTGTTCCCACCTCAATACCCGCAGCCAACAACAGGGGACCGTAGATGCAGATACAACTCCACTTTTCCATCCTTATACAGTTATACCCTCCATGGCATGTGTTTGTAACTGTTCCCACCTCAATACCCGCAGCCAACAACAGGGGACCATAGATGCAGATACAACTCCACGTTTCCATCCTTATACAGTTATACCCTCCATGGCATGTGTTTGTAACTGTTCCCACCTCAATACCCGCAGCCAACAACGAGGACCATAGATGCAGATACAACTCCACTTTTCCATCCTTATACAGTTATACCCATCAGTGCATGTGTGTGTAACTCTTCTCACGCCCCGTTCCCTGTTGAGTGCACACCCATGGACACCTAAAATTCAGTTGGGTATATTAATGATAACTGGCTTCATAAACTGCCGGAATATATTTAAATCGCTCACTAATTACAATAATTATTTAAGAAAAAAGGTTACCTTTAAACGGTGGACACAGGTTCCAGACGTTGACAGGCCCACTTTGTGAGTATTGACCGATGACCATCTCCAGAAATACACAGGGAATAGTACCCACAATTGTAAACAGGACGAATGGGATGAGGAATGCGCCTAAAGAAAATATTGAGTATTGTAATTCAATCAAAATATATACATTGTAACAACAAGTATGAAGTAAACGTACGAGTACTGTCGTTTATCAGTTTCACCATTCTGGATATATTGTTCAAGAATTCACACTTTCAATTAGTGAAATTTAAAGCTAAAACAATTACCGTGGTGGGGCCTCGCCAGCACAGACTCAAACGACTCACTAAGAACGATAAATGGGTGGGGGTTGGGTTTGTTTTTTTTTTGGGGGGGGGGGTTAACATCCAAGTGATGGCAAGTACAAAAGGTTAAACAGTTCAGAAAAATAGTTTTACCGCCGCCATTACGCATACAAAGGTACGGAAACTTTATAAATGTCCCGGATCCAACTGCAAAGCCAAGCAGTACGATGACATAGTCCAGATGATGACGCCATCTCTCATGTGCCATGTCTGAAATCTCACAACAAGAAGATACTAGTATGAAACAAATTGATTGATTACAGTATGATTGTGGCAGCCGTGCCATGCGCACACACACACCACAGAGCATCTTTTTCATATTAAACAAAACAATCATCCCCATTTAGTTCTGGTCCTCTTCCCCTTCTCCCTCAATCTATACTTGTACACAGCTTTCGGACCTGTCCCAGTCCGCAGAACAATGGACAATGTGGTTTGTTTTTATCTTGTAACTGTCCAGTATATTTAATCTTTAGGACTACTGTGCATAATGACTATAATCGAGACTGACAATTCTTGACGTTGACGTCATACATTTTTACAAGTTTTATTACTACAACTTACAATGTACTAACAATAGAAATAGACTATATATACTAGCGTGAAACGTGTGCTTCATTTATGTGAGGTGAGGTGAGGTGAAATGGTGTGTGTGTGTGTGTCTCTGTCTGTGTCTCTGTGTGTGTGTGTGTGTGTGTGTGTGTGTGTGTGTGTGTGTGTGTGTGTGTGTGTGTGTGTGTGTGTGTCTGCTTGTACTGGTCTGTACTAGTCCGGAGTAATGCCGAATTAACAGTGTTAGCCCACTGAGATACCATGCCGCAGTGTAACATTAATATCCCACTCAGACACAGTATACTGATTCCGAGCCGACCAATCCTTGTTTTAGTCCCTTAATGCCGATCGCCAGACAGGGTAACAACAAGTACCATCTTTTAACGTCTTTTGGTATGACGCGGCCTGTCATCGAACCCCGAGCCTTCCGCTCTACGGGCGGACGCTCTACCACTAGAATACGGAGGTTGTCTATTGTCATTATAATGTTTGTGTGATTTGACAGTAAACGTCTGCAGTACGACTTCCAGTGAATATATGTATGAGGTATGGTGTAGCATTGTTTTTATTCGACCCTATTTACTTCATGATGGTTGGGTCTCTTTTGTCTCTGAGAAAGAACGGCATTTACTTAATGAAAGTAGGTTGTACCACGGAGGATACATTTGAGTGAGAGGGTTCTACTAATTGCCAAGGAACAACAAGTACCATTTTTTAACGTCTTTTTGTATGACGCGACCGGGGATCGAACCCCGGATATACCGACCGCTCTTCCACTAGACCACGGAGGGAGTCGAAATAGGGTTTATTCCACTTGTATATTGGCTTGCATGCACGAGTGTGTGTGTGGCTTTTGTTCTAGTATGGACTATTACCGATATAGTGCTTGCCCACACAGTGTACTTACTCCGAACCGACCAGTACTCTTTGTTTTAGCCCCTTAATGACGAGTCCCAGGCAGGGTAACAGAAAGTATCTTTTAACATATTTTGGTATGACTCCAGACCTTACACTCTTCGAGCGGACGCCCTATCACTAGATCCCGGAGACGTCACCCGTGTTGTGAAATCACGGTCTTAAAGTCGAGGAGATGGCTTTATGAATTACTATGCATTATTTCAGAATAAATTATTCTTATTGAACTTTGTATGAACAACATTTTCTGTTATCCGTTAGTATAATAACGTCATAAAGTTATACGTTTTTAGGAAACAATTAATGCCATGTTCACAAAATAATAACCTCTGAAGACAAAAGGTGATATTTTATCTTATAGACTAGCATACTATTATTAGACATTAGAGTATTGTTAGTCATGTCACCCACTTAATATTGCATACAGTAATGATGTGCTCAATATTTGTTTTTTGGAAAGCGATCACGATACTGTTTCCCTCTACTCTTACGGATAATTACCAGGTATATATCTAAACAAAGGGGTTTGTAACGCAAAGGTAAGAAGCAAGATATATGGCCAATACCGTTGTCGAAGTACTATATCATTAAAAGTTCTTTAATGTTGTGCTATGACACGTTAGCGACAGTTGTTCTTTACCAAACGATCCTGCAAGATGCATTGAACATTGTCTGTTCGTGTCACAATCACACTTTTCATACACGTGTGTACTGATTACTTGACTAATATGAATATATGAATATGTGATATATTCTTGAAACGTTTTTCTGGACATTTCATACGTCTGGTCTTTGATGCTGCTGGCAATGGGACAGTCGACCTCAGGAGTATGTCAGAGTAAGTTGTAATAAGAAATTAGTCCAACATATGTCTTCTAATTAGAGCCATAAATATTTGTTTAGTCCCTGAAATTACGATACTGGTGGGTTCCCTTACAACACTGGTTTTATTCTACTTCACACATAAATGTATTCAGGACTATGTAGACCAACCGTTTATTAAAGTTTGGACACAACATCGAAGTTCTAAGATTAATTGCGACATGAGTTTTGAAGTTATTCGAGGAACACACTGTTATGAATGAATCTACACTCCAGAACAACATTTTCGGAGACATGTTTTACGACAATATACAAACAACAGTTTCGGAGACATGTTTTACGACAATATACAAACAACAGTTTCGGAGACATGTTTCATGACAGTAAAATCGGTTCCCATCATGAGTGTCGGATAAAGCCGATCGTCGGATTAACGAGACTTGACTGTACAAACACCTGCATGTGGTGAGGCACAGAAGCAGATCGGTACTTGACAGGCGGTAGATGTGAGAAATACATGGAAAACGTTAAAGCCTTGCTGCATAGTCACTCAAGACACAAAGACGTCAAAACGATGAACGACCAGCCATGTCATTTCAGATCAAAGAAAACCATTACAACCTTCACGTACCTGTCTGTTTGCCTGCTGAGAAAAGATCTACCTGCCTATCTGCCTGCCTGATTCTGCAACACTAATATCGGAATCACAAGGCCTTTTGCATAGGAACTGAAGGCAGTCGTGACGCTACCACTCTCTATTTTGAGGGGTTTGGGGTCAGCGAGCCGTGATAATATATTATAGTTTATTTCAGACTTATTTGTCAGGGGTACATTTTTTACTGTTTAAAATATGGTTTAAACATATTTTTATTCACAAAAGTGAACCTGGATTGGTAACATTGTTTATCACTGTACATAAAACACAATATACGTAATACATACACATAACCATCTATCACTGTGACAGTGTTATAGTTACATGTGTTAGAAAAAATTGTACATTCTTACATTAAGTGTATAAGTTTAGTATATAATCACTCCATATTCATGCTATGAATATAAAATCATAAACAGTGATCACTGTTCATAAAACATTATAAATAATCACTGTGAATCACCAACAAAACAAGAGACTACACCATACCCAAACGTGGTGTAGGCTCCATCACACAAGTAAGCACTTAAAGTCTGTCATCAGGGACTTTCTACCCTTTCCTGGGAAGGATGGCACCACCGGCATGTAGTTGAAGAAGTGTATTTTCAACATGTGATTGTTCTGTCTTAAGATTGTCTATGAGGTCCCGGCTATAAGCTTGTAGAGGATGGCATATTCGCTTGATTGACCGTCACGCTTAGGCAGAGAAGTTCTCAGTTAAAACAGACTATAGCCAACTGTGAATTGTGTAGGTGACCACTCAGCCGGTAAGGCGACAGGTAAAGTGGAACGGACCGCAACTGCCTGATCATATAGAAACAAGATAAATATTTGACGATTTACTTTTGGATGACAACAGCTTTGCAACAACATTTCAAAGATGTTCTTGATCATTCATCAGGTGAATACTGAGTAAACAGTTTGTCATTTAAGGGTTTAATGTCCACTTCAGAAATATTCTGTTTCGTCGATGGGGCAGGTGGGCTTAAATAAGTAATATATTAAATATGTAACACTAAAACAAGCAAACAAGCTAATAAAGTAAGTTAGTTGGGCTTTATTTATGCATAAAAGTGGTTCATCCATAAATTATAATCCCTACTTTAAACTGAGTCTGGGAGGCAGGGTAGGGCAGGGTAGGACGCCGGGTGGTGGCCGTGTGTTGTGAAGCGTGTGGTTTGTGAGTGTGGTGGATAGCCTGTTAAATCGGTAGGTACAATTCCCTTGCTTTCCTCACACCACGGACATGGAAACGGAACCTGTCATTCCTCCTCCGAGCACCCCCCGGGCTCCACCCTCACAGCGGGAATCCACACCCCACACCCAGGGAACAGGAAACCATAACCGCAGCACAGGATCACGGGCCAGTAGCACATCGCAAAAGGGAAAGAAAGAATCTTCCGCCCCCGTCTCCGCCTTACCTACTTCACAAAAGTACCAGTACATTGACAACCCTACAATACATAAATAGAGGATATTTCATGTGTCGAGTGAAACATCATGTTTCTCTCATGGAGTGACGGGGAGAAGGAGATATGTTGTACGAGTAGCGTAGCCACGAGTGAAAAAATCCCCTTTTACCCCCGTTTCGAGACTATAACAAAAATTATTCTTGAAAACTAGGAGACCGCTGTTGGAAGCGAAAGAATCCACACTGGTCAAGTAGCGAAAACGGCGCTTTGCGAAACGAACAGACTCGATTGAAGAGTTAAATGCGAAATTTACAGTTTATAACGAAACATTTTCGAGAAATTAACAAATGGCAAGAAGTGGTATTAACGCCATAAATGACCATCTGTCATTATTTTGCCTTGTTAATGTGGAACTTACGTAAAAAGGACATCAACAGTCTATGTACGGGCTTGACACTTACGATGAAGGGCGACAACTTGAGGAGAGGTAACTCTTGTATGACAATAGTTTCGTCAAAGTGTTATGTTCGCTGCAGTGAAAGATCAAATGTTTTGTTCACTGCAATGAAAATATCCCTTTTCTCAACTGCAGAAAACTCAGTCTTTCACACGGAAGTATGTAGTAATATGGTTCAATTCATGGGCACAGGACGCTTCGACCGTCAAATTCATAGCCTCCAAACCCCATTCTTTTCTGACCTCAGATCAAGAAGATGAAATTAACGTGACCCAACAGTTGATCAGCAGTGCTACTGTCAGTTGCATCAGGTCAAAAGTTCATACCCGTCACTGATTGAAACTCCCAGTTATCCAAGATATTATTAGCAGGAAGTCTGGTCAAGACACCTTAACCC